CATCCCATAGGACAACAGGGGACTAATTGATGCAGTAATACTTAAAATGTAATGTGATCACAGCTGCATATTTATGGACTGTTTTAAAACTGTTTCAAATATGGCTCAGCCAGTCATAATTGAAGTGTGGAACTATCTGTTTTATAACTGCATGTGGGCATTTTATAATGGCAGTTTTACAATGCTAACAAAGGTTAAAAAAAAAAAAAAAAAAAAAAGATTCCACCAGAAGACAAAAGGGGCTTCTCATTTTTAGTGGGCAGCAGCCCATTTTGTCAGCTGAAATGACAAGTGGCAGATTTATCAGCTAGCGAGCAAGCTGATTAACTTTAACTGTTTAGTTGGGTCATCAGGCAAACCCATGACTTCAGTGTCATGCTGAAAGACCAAAGGTGCGGCTAAATGTGTGTTCAGACAAAAAGATACATTATGTTTTGCCATTTGCATCTCATTTTTCACACATTTGACAGTTAAAACATTGTCATGCAATCAGAGTCACCCAAATCAGCAAATGTACTGACCAAAAAGCGTTAGCTGTAAGTGATCTAGCAGCAGAAATTTGTCTATGTCTGGGAGTGCTCCTGTCTGTGTGCTGTCTGAACTCTGTATGTGTTTGTGAAATAGTAATAATAATTCATAAAGCACTGAAATAAATGCCATTTTTTGCTCAAGTTGAAACACTTTGAATTTGTGTGGATGCATTTTTGTATTACTTTGTGCCAGGAAAACTTATATCTAATAATGTCTTCCCATTGACTTTCTATGCAGTTGCGCTGCCTCTAAAATTTGCCTTGTGATATGTCTGAACACACAGTAAAGCTGCATGTCCCACAAGACCTCAGTGTGGATGCTTACAAGAAAAAGGATTTTAGGATGAGGACTAACCAATGTGTTTGGCAAAAGTAACTCTCTCTCTCTGTAACCACTTAAGCTGGAGTCTAATCTTCCCCAAATCCAACAGCACAGAGCTGCTAATGTTAGCCTGGATGCTAATGCTGTAGAATGCAGGACTGACTAAAACACAGTGGGTGTTCCAGTCCTTATTTAACCTGTATCCCTACAAGGCAACTATTGTTAGTTGTTTGTGTGTCTCTTGAAATAAGATAACATTGTAAGCAATTGGTGAGGGCTAACTTTGCAGTTCATATTGTAAAAAGAATAAAATGAACATTTCAAATGCAGTTTGAATGGTAAAAATCTGTTCAGTCACTGTGGAGATATCAGTGTCTAAACATTAAGAAAACTGTCTTGCCCACAAATTTGAGGACATAGGTTTCAAGTTCTTTAACATCAGTAGGGTATGAGTTGTAGGTGATATCCACATATAGATCCAGGAAAACACGCATGGAACAGTTGACCTGGTGAAAAAATTTCTGATAAGAAAAAAACCCTTTTAATGGTCTCCTCAATCAGTCACATTAACAGGGTACTGAGGATTGAACGCTTCTTATTAAAATGCACCTTTGGAGTCGTAGTTTACTTCTCTCCTTCAGTTTTTATGTCCACAGACTTTGACCTCTATCAAAGAACCAGATATTTTCTAACACAGTTGTTAAAGAATTTCCCAATTTGGATCCATCCATCCATCCAACCATCCAGCCATCCATCCATCCATCTACCTACTTACCTTTCTATCTATCCATCCAGCCACCCAGCTAGTCTGCGTGCTTGCTTTACTGATGATTCAACCAGAGACACTTTGAAGACCCCAGATGCCAAAAATAACAACTGGTATGCTTTAATTAGAGCCACAGTTTGAGCAATTAAATTGCATAACAGGTATTGAGGTTCTTGTTTGAACGCTTTACATAGGGTGCATTTTGAAATACTCACTCCAAGTGCTGGAGCACACTCTGGCACAAACCCCAGTGTTCGTAAATTTAGAGCGCTGTTGGAATGTATCGTTCAGTTATCCAGAACACCGCACTCTTGGAGTGGCAGAGCACACTCTGGGCACTCTGTCTGGGGAGAAGGAGCAGCGGAGTGAACGTGTGATTAACTTAACTGTTCATTAATTCATATAGAAATAGAACACTGTATTTCTTTAGAAAAACAGCCCTCTCACTGTAGTGTAGAGAATTGGATAAGATTTACGAACACATCCATGATAAATCATCCTGTGTCCCGCCCAAAAACTACTTTTTGTTTAATTAGTTGTGTATGAATTAGCCGCAGATTGATGTCCACTTGTTGAGTAAAAGAAAGGAAGAACTTTCCCTGGTTCCTCGAAGACGCATCTCGACACACGTGGACAACAGATCTGACAAGTTGAACTTGTGAACTGAGCACAGTCATCAGGGTAACCTCCTTCTTTCCTATCAGTTCCTCCCATTCCTACAGGGGATTTATACACTTCCCCCACCTCTAACCCTGATGTGCCTCCGCAGGTCACCTCAGTAATGAGCCATGTGGTCCCCTCTAGCGCTCACTAATCAGGGATCCAAGGCTGTCCCATCTTCGGCCCAACGCTCTGGCAACAAAACACACTCTGAACCCAAAGTGGTTGTCTCTCTGCCATCTGGCCTCCATGCCTGGCCCTGTCTCCACTCTGCCGGCGATTTATGCCCTCCTGAGGTGTTTCGCCTTTTAGCTCACACATAATTGGCCCCCAGATGCAAAAAAGATGTGGGGGCCAGTTTTTATTAGTTGCCAAGCAGAGGTCATTGTTTTTGCATTACTCTGACTCCTCAGCACTGCCAAGGTTAAAAAGACATGCTTTATGTCTGTACCTTGACTAGCAATTACTGAAAGAAATAAGGAGTCCATACAAAGTCACACATAACTGAAAGTAATGATGGAATATAGAGCTGAAAGAAGGCAGTGTTTGATGGTGTATGCTGTATGACAGTGGTAAAGGAAGCAATAAAAAACAAATCATATGGACTCAGAACTTCCCTACAAAAGTCCTGAAATACCTTACGTCCTGTTTCCTGGCCAGAGACCCCTCCTCCACCTCCACCTCCACCACTAACTCACCAGATATGATATGCCTGCTGTCAATTTGTTTGAGTTAATATGCCATATTCACAAGAAAAGCACATGACATGATGGGAATAAGAAACTTTACTGCTTCCTGAGTAGCTGAAAAAGTCTGAGAAGAAGTCAGGTGACATTTTAAAGTGTAATCCCACTGAGTGATAAATGGTGGAACCTGTTCGAAGGCCATGTTAAAACTGACAATAGCACTGCATGTTTTCATGCAGTCCCCTAAATTAGTTCAATACGACCACTGCAAGAGAACAGCAGCTTTTTTCTTAAGGAGACAGAAAGAAGTCACATTAAACTCACTGAAAAAATAATAAATTGTCCACCTCTGTTATAAACCAGTAAATCGGTAAATCAGAGTGCAGTGTGTAAATTTGCATGGCGAGGCACATCTCATTAAGTGTTAAATGTGAAAAAAAGCTATTTAATACCCCAATTTTGCAGCCTTTGTAGAAATTTGAGGTTTTAACACTTCACTTTAAAAGGAGGAATTTGCCTGTTGAAATGATTAATTGGTTAATTCTAGTTAATTTTAAAACATGTATCACAATAACTGTCCTTTTCACAAATATGGAAAAAATTAGATTAGCCACACTCTGAAATAGGGTGTGACTAGCCCTCCAACGTGCTGTACAACCACTTAAATTTCATGCTACTTTCACCCAAGGCAGTTTTTTAATTAACCTTTGACCCCTGTGACATAGGGGCAGTTCATAGACTGTGTATGCAGTCACTCAACAACGAGATAGTAGATGAGAAATTAGTAGCAGTTGGTTAGAAAATGAAATAAACAACTGAATAATTTGGATTATTTTTTGTATCAACCAAAATCTTTAGGAAATTAACAGAAGCCTAAATTTACTGCACTTAACCACTAATTTGAGGTATTTGTACTTTCTTTGAGTATTTCTATTTTGTTCAACTTTTAAATTCTTCTCCACTACATCTTAGAGAGAAATATTGTAGTTTTTACACTGTATTTATCTGACTGCTTTAGTCACATTATACAGACTAAGATTTTTGCACAATAAAAACATATGAGATGGACAAGTCCAGCTGACACGAATAGTCAGCTGACAAAAAGTTAACTGGCAACTATTTTGATGATTGAAGTAATTTTTCATTTAAAAATATTTCATGGTTCCAGCTTCACACTTGTGAGGAATTGCTGCTTTCACTTTGGATGTTGTTATAGTAGCTCTGTTACATGATTTGGTGTGATACTAGGTTGAATAATATTGAGGTTTGGACTTCTGGATGAAAACAAACATTGTGAAGGTGTCACTTTGGGTTTTCACTATTTTCAAAAACCAAACAATCAGTCAATTAATTTAAGAAAATAATCTTAATCTATACTGACATAATAAGTAGGTAATAGTTAACATGAGCTCCACCTCAACCAACTACAATAAAATACTGCTTTGACATTACTACTTGAGTATTACTAATATAATATGGGCCTATAATATAACAGTCACAGGGGACATTTTCCTGATACTGATATTGAGACTATATTTTTCCTGATTATACGTAGACTTATTTTTACAGTCTATGACTTAGACCTACATACTTTCACTTGAGTAACATTTTAAATGCAGGAGTTATACTTGTAATAGAGTAGTTTTACAGCGTGATATTACTCCTTTTTATGAAGTACTGGGATACTTCGGAATGCCTTCCCCACCACTGCCAGTGCAGCCGAAATTGGAACAGACATGTCAATTCATTTTAATTCAAGCAAACTTTCAAAGGGGATTTATGAATCTGGCATGTAGCAAACCATAAATATGCCGTTTACATTATTATTTACAAAGTCATATATATGTACAAAAACGGATATGAAAAGTCTAAAACAAACATATACATTGGAAAACATATATCTTTGGTTATCAGAGAATCAAAATATGTATTCTCTCTTTCAATTTCACGTTAGTGTTTATTTTTTATATTCAGGCGATATCTGTAACTTGAACTCCGCGGGTCTTTCTTCGGGTCCTTGACGTGGCATCAATAAACCAAGATGGCGGTGGCGTTATAGCTTCCTTGAGTTTCTCTGTATATTTGGAAGTTTAGAATGATTATCTCAAGTCAATAAGCAGACCATTTACTGTGTGCATGATTCTTGCTGTGTTGTTTGGGGTATTTCATATGTAAAGCTGCACAATGAGCGGCTGGGCCGGTTTTTCTGACGAGGAGTTACGGAAGATGCAGCAGAAAGGTAACATTCCTTGTTGCTAATGTTAACCGGACAAGTTCGCATCAGACTCTGCTTCAGCTTCCCAAGTGGTTGACATGTTTTCAATTAACTCTACATTTAGCCTGAATTAAATTTTTGTGAAAACCGTTAGTAGTAATCGTGACTACATGTATTTTCAGACTCAACATTCCCCGCAGCGGCAACCCGCGGGCGGAAATCTGGTCCAGCCAACCGGAGTCGGCAGCAGTTGCAGCGGGAGAAGGCCCTTCAGCTGGCCGCTCAGAAAAACGCAGGAGCCGGGTCTCCTTGCCTCCCACCGGAGCAACAACTCACCAAACCGCCGCCGCCGAAGGAAGAGCCTCAGCCTCAGCCCACAGCTCCAACAGCAGCTCCGGCTGTCAAACAGGAGGTGCAGCAGACACCTAGCGAGATGAAGCCGCCTCCAGAGGAGGAGACCCCGGCCGTCAAAGAGCTGGAGAAACAAGAGGTGGCACTGTTAGTATGTTTTTGATATTATTCTCACTGTTAAGGTTTTGTTTGCTGTTTGAAAAAGTATTTATTCTAGCTGTTCTGTTGTTTCTCCGTTCATTTTTTTACTTGCATATTCAGGCAGTGGTGGAAAAAGTGTTCAGATCCTATATCTCAGTAAAAGTATATTACCAGACAGTGAAAGTACTGCATTTAATACATTATTTAAGGAAAAGTATCTTATTATCATGTACCCATCATACCTGATGTTTTTGGATTAATATTACTGCTGCATAAATGTGTTTGTTTCATTTTACTGCTGCAGATGTTTAAGGTGGTGCTCATTTGAACTCCTTTATATACTGTTCGGGAATCGAATCTACAGAAATACATTATATTCTAGAAGATCATCACATGTTTGTAGTTTGGCTGTCCTGTAAGAACCACATTTCTCTGAAAAGTTGACTCTTCATGGTGTCAGAAAAACCGTCCTGTTTTCAGCTTTGAGGATGGATTTTCCAGCTGATCCAAGAAGGTTAGAGAAAATTAGCTAAAAGTCCAGTGTGTAGGATGTAGGGGTGTCCATCGGCAGAAGTGGTATATAATAGTCATAACCATGTTTTCATTAGTTTGTGATCACCTGAAAATAAGAATCATTGTGTTTTCATTACCTAAGAAGAGCTGTTTGTATCTACATGCAAAGCGGGTCCTCTTCCATGGAGTCTGCCATGTTGTTCTACAGTAACCCAGAACAGACAAACCAAACACTGGCTCTAGACAAAAGCCATTCATGTTGGCCACTGTAGTTCTTCTACATGCTTGGCCCACAGGAGTAGTTTAGTTTATGCTTCTTCACCAATAGATGCCACTAAATCCTACACACTGGACCTTTAAGAAGTGGGGCAATTTTCTCATCACATAAAGGAACACATCATCCTTCATCAGAAACATTCAAAATCAACACATCTGGAGATACATGGTTTTCATTGAAGAAGGAGGGGATGAAAAATTGTATTCTGCAAATTAACTAAAGATATCAGGCAAATGTGGTGGAGTAAAAAGGATAATATTTCCCTTTGAGACGTAGGGGAGTAGAAGTAAAAAATTACCTAAAATGGAAATCCTCAAGTAAAGTAAAAAGATCTTGAATTTGTACTTAAGAAAATTTACTTGGGTACATTCCACCAGTGTGTTCAGGTTTAGCTTAGTATATGACTGCAGCACTCTGCACGTTATCCCGCAAATAATGGGAGGAAGAAATAAATGTTACCTGTTATCCAGCTGGTGGTTGCATAATCTAAGATATTTTTGTGATCTCACACATGCTCATAGTCTGCCTGGCATAATACATTCAAGTCTGCTGTTTTCACAGACAGCACTGCTCAGTTCTTTGCTGGACAGTTGCGTTCCCAGGGGCAGTAGATAGTGCAGTCTGTACAAATGTTGGATTTAAATGCTGGTACATCCATCTGTACATGTCCAAATTCTGAAATTTGGACATATACAGATAGTATTGGGATTCTGCTGATGCTTGAACCTTGTGTGTGCGGTTTATGTTGAGATAAGCAAGTGCTGCGCCACCGATTTTACATTCCCACATACATACATAAACGTTACAATTTCTGTTTATACAGTGAATGTCAGGAGTTATGTAATCATTTTTAAAACTTCTAATCAAACTTTAGGTAAAGTACATATATGTTTAGGTGTTTGTTTAGCATCAGACCCAAAGCTCCTGCCAGGGTGTGGATTTAGTTTTTATAATTGTGTCTTTTTGAATTTGATGAGCATTTTTGTGTGTTTGACCACAGACGGGAAAAGACGCGTCTGGAGCAACTGCAGCAAGAGCAAAAGATAATGGAAGAGAGGAATAAGCGCAAGAAGGCTCTGCTGACGAAAACTATTGCTGAGAAGTAAGTATGTCTGTATTGATACTGTAGTAGGCAACATATTATCATGGCAGATGAGAATCATGGCAAAAGTTAAGGCCAAACTTGAGGCCAAAAGACATAATGTACCTTTACGAGTTTGTTATTGTCCACAGGTCCAAACAGACTCAGGCAGAGGCTGTGAAGCTGAAGAGGATTCAGAAGGAGCTCCAGGCTCTAGATGACATGGTGTCCAATGATATCGGCATCCTGAGAGGCAAGATTGAGCAAGCCAGCTGGGACTACTCCACTGCCAGGTAGGGAGTGAGACAGCACAAGAGCATGAGGAGTTAGAAATGTTTTTATCTATTTTCTCAGCTCTACATGTAACACTTTTGGGGGCCGCTATAGACTGTATACATGCCTCTCAATTGAGGTTTTCACCACTAGCCCCTTTTACACTGCCAGATTTTCCGTGAATGTTGGGCCGTTTTGCAGGCAAGCTGAGAGAGTTTAAACACACAGAGACAGAATGGCAAGTTAATCCGAAGAGCCCAATTTTCCGCCTAGTAGAATAGACATATTGGCGGAACCCTTTTAGTTTAAACAGACCGAGGCGGCCTTCCGCAACGGGAGAGGCTGTTGATGACTTGTGGGAGGAGCTATTGATGACGCTGCATGTGCGACCCACTGGCGGTGGATAAACAGGAAACAGCTGATAGCAGGAATTAGCGAGCAGCTAGTAGCAAGAGGGAAACGCAAACCTGACAGACACTGTGAAGATGAGCAACTGGGGAGACAAGGAATTGTGCACCCTCCCTGCCCTCGCAAACGAAGAGGCCATTAACTGTCAAATGACGGGGACGGTGAAGAACGGGCCGATTTACGAGAGAATCGCCGCTTGACTAGCAGCAGCTTCCCTCCCACATCACTGTTTACGTCACACGTTGAGCCACACGTTTTGTTATTTGCTCACGCCCCCCATTGCCCCGAAAAAGGCACATTTTGTAAAAACAAAAGTAGGTAGGCGGCATTTTGCTGCACTCCCCGATTTTGTTTTTATACTGCCAATGCAGAAAGAAGACTGATTGGGCTTTCCTGCACAATTCCTATCTACACAGTCAGCTGTACGTTGTCATTGATGCATTGTACACAAACCAACTCACTAGCAGTTTGCAATACTGGTGTAGAAATGCAAGCAAAAAAAAAAAACAAAACACATTTCTGGTTGAAAGAAGAAACACACCTCCTTTAATAAGGACTTGGATATCAGCAGGTTTTTGAATATGTTCAAGTATCAGAACATCAACCTTTTCCAGAAGGTGGCTGAAGGAATGCCAGAGGGAGGCTGAGCTTGCACAGTCCAACAAGTCCGCCACTGGTAGGAAACTGTGAAAAAATCCTATTTTGAAGCAAAGAAGCCAAATGACAAATGGCTCCAGCTTTTGTACTTTTCCATATTGTGACATAATAAACAACATCTTAGGTAATGTTATCAGAGTATGCACAGCTGCATGTAAACAGGAGTATTAGGGAATATTCATTTTCATTTGCCATGTAAGCAGCTTAGTAGGAATGTCTTTTTGGGAATACTGGCAAAAACTGGACTATTTTCTGCATGTGCACGCACTCATTGATAGGATTTACTACGTTTCTGACACTGTCAGAATTTTGAAGCAGGCTGTTTTTGGTCTAAATGGTGGACGTGTGTCACAATGAGATCTAGGACCAGTGTCTTTGATTGACAACCAAAGATTTTACCATATTTCTCGCATAATTGTGAACTCATGTCAGGGACAGCCCCAAACCATAGGTGCCTTAGTAGCTTTAAGCAATGAGTTAGCATCCTGCTGCATGCAACAGCACTACTGATTGAGGTAATGTTGAGTACAGTATGCTGAAATACCTCAGGCTAAAAACATGAGTAGGTCTGATCTAGGGATGTGCATGACGTGGACATCAGTATTTGTCCAGCATATAGAGCAATGCCTTTTTTTCTTTTGTTTTATTGTAAAGGAAAATGTTATATATATATATATATATATATATATACACAGTACAGGCCAAAAGTTTGGACACACCTTCTCATTCAATGCGTTTTCTTTATTTTCATGACTATTTACATTGTAGATTCTCACTGAAGGCATCAAAACTATGAATGAACACATGTGGAGTTATGTACTTAACAAAAAAAGGTGAAATAACTGAAAACATGTTTTATATTCTAGTTTCTTCAAAATAGCCACCCTTTGCTCTGATTACTGCTTTGCACACTCTTGGCATTCTCTCCATGAGCTTCAAGAGGTAGTCACCTGAAATGGTTTTCCAACAGTCTTGAAGGAGTTCCCAGAGGTGTTTAGCACTTGTTGGCCCCTTTGCCTTCACTCTGCAGTCCAGCTCACCCCAAACCATCTCGATTGGGTTCAGGTCCGGTGACTGTGGAGGCCAGGTCATCTGCCGCAGCACTCCATCACTCTCCTTCTTGGTCAAATAGCCCTTACACGGCCTGGAGGTGTGTTTGGGGTCATTGTCCTGTTGAAAAATAAATGATCGTCCAACTAAACGCAAACCGGATGGGATGGCATGTCGCTGCAGGATGCTGTGGTAGCCATGCTGGTTCAGTGTGCCTTCAATTTTGAATAAATCCCCAACAGTGTCACCAGCAAAACACCCCCACACCATCACACCTCCTCCTCCATGCTTCACAGTGGGAACCAGGCATGTGGAATCCATCCGTTCACCTTTTCTGTGTCTCACAAAGACACGGCGGTTGGAACCAAAGATCTCAAATTTGGACTCATCAGACCAAAGCACAGATTTCCACTGGTCTAATGTCCATTCCTTGTGTTTCTTGGCCCAAACACATCTCTTCTGCTTGTTGCCTCTCCTTAGCAGTGGTTTCCTAGCAGCTATTTGACCATGAAGGCCTGATTGGCGCAGTCTCCTCTTAACAGTTGTTCTAGAGATGGGTCTGCTGCTAGAACTCTGTGTGGCATTCATCTGGTCTCTGATCTGAGCTGCTGTTAACTTGCGATTTCTGAGGCTGGTGACTCAGATGAACTTATCCTCAGAAGCAGAGGTGACTCTTGGTCTTCCTTTCCTGGGTCGGTCCTCATGTGTGCCAGTTTCGTTGTAGTGCTTGATGGTTTTTGCGACTCCACTTGGGGACACATTTAAAGTTTTTGCAATTTTCCGGACTGACTGACCTTCATTTCTTAAAGTAATGATGGCCACTCATTTTTCTTTAGTTAGCTGATTGGTTCTTGCCATAATATGAATTTTAACAGTTGTCCAATAGGGCTGTCGGCTGTGTATTAACCTGACTTCTGCACAACACAACTGATGGTCCCAACCCCATTGATAAAGCAAGAAATTCCACTAATTAACCCTGATAAGTCACACCTGTGAAGTGGAAACCATTTCAGGTGACTACCTCTTGAAGCTCATGGAGAGAATGCCAAGAGTGTGCAAAGCAGTAATCAGAGCAAAGGGTGGCTATTTTGAAGAAACTAGAATATAAAACATGTTTTCAGTTATTTCACCTTTTTTTGTTAAGTACATAACTCCACATGTGTTCATTCATAGTTTTGATGCCTTCAGTGAGAATCTACAATGTAAATAGTCATGAAAATAAAGAAAACGCATTGAATGAGAAGGTGTGTCCAAACTTTTGGCCTGTACTGTATATATATATATATATATATACATATATAAACATAAATTGACCCTGTTCTATATTAAAAGTTTAAATTTTTGGACAGGATTCAGTGATGTAACTGCAACCTATGAATATCTGCCCACATCCATATAGCAAAAATGATAGATGTGAGCAGCCACAGATAACATTCAACATATTCAGCCAGACTTCCCCCAAGAGTAATGTTTGGAAGAATTTCAAGAAAATAAAGACTGTTTTTTGTGAGTACTGGAGCACTCAATAATTTAATTTGGAAGTAACTTAAAATGCCTATCCCTAGTTTGGTCTAAGTTTGACAATCCCTCCCATAAACTCCATTAGCAGGTCAAAGGCATCTGGTGAGACAGAAGGCAGAACAGTAATAATCTGGATTGTATCTCTATTGCACTTTTCCTCCTAATCAGAACAAAGAACTTAACAATGCAGCTCAATGAGAGCGTAGGCTTGGCTTTTGGGAGCAGTTTAGGGCAGAGTGTATTGCTCAATGACACTTCAACATGGGGACAGATGAGTTGGGAGATTGCTGGGACATCAGTCACACTAAAACATTCGGAAAGTAAGGGGCCACTAAGCACTCAGAATTTCATAAATCATGTTTTTATTTGACACGGACAACCCAGTCAGTCTGATTTTAATAATAAATGGAACAACACAGTTTTGCAGTAAACAGCACTTTATTGATCACAAAATAAAAAGTGACCAGGTAATGAACTGTACATCCACTGTAAATGCTGCCCCCTGCAGCTTGTTTCCAGTATTCATGTGACATTTTTCTCCCAACACTTGTGATCCACATGTGTTCTCAAACACTTTGAACCAGTTTCAGCAGACACAGTCCTGCTCTGATGTTCTGGGAACTTCCCTTCAACATAAAGGGACTAATTAACTAAGGAGGATTACAAGTAAAACCTAGAAAAAATAGAAGGAACAAAGACTGCAAATAGTTTTATAATATATTGTGTGTATGTGATTCTTCAGCAACATCTTATCCAGTGAAGCTGTGTTTGACCTTGTGCCTGTAGCTGTGATTTCCCTGTGCAGCCTCTTGTGTAGCGAGAGTAGCTCCATGTCATGAACACTTCTCATTACAGATGTTTGTATAACGGGAAGAGGACCTGACCTTCACACACTCATTACACTGGATTCTGTTATGATTATGTTGATATAATCAATTGTTGAGATTTCGCTGAGGTACAACATAAAACCCCTGAGGTGAAATGTTTGACATCATCTGTTTAGTTACCACAGTGTTTCCAAACAGTGTGTGATGTTCTGTTCTTCACAATTAAAACAACGTTTCTGCATTCAGACACTATGGAAGGACTTGTGGGGGTTTGTGCCAATAAGATACCTTTTTTTGAATTCAGATACAAAACCTATACTTTTTTGGAAAAATATAAAGATGTTTTTCTATGTAAAAAAAAAAAAAAATACATTTGACTTTAAACAAAAGAAGTCCAAAGCTTAAAGACATTCATCTTAAAAAAGTATATAAAACATAACACATCAGACAAAAAGTCAGATTTTAGAAGCTGTAACCAGAAAATATTTGGCATTTTTTCCTTGATGAATGCTTTAAAAGAGGAATTAATTGTCATAACTGTTGACGATTAAACTGAACAGTTATTTGTCTCATTATTTGGGCACTTAACTACCCAACTCTTTTCCTCGGTGGATTTATGCAACATTCTTTCTTTTGGTTTAGACTTAATATCAGTCAGCCATGTAACAGTCTTCATTTATACTCATGTGGTTAAGCTTTGACAAAAAGCAGGTGTAAAAAGAGGAATATTTTATATGATGGCCACTCAACATATTTGGTCATAATGGATATTCTCTACAGGCAAGAAGTGCAGACGGGAGTACTTTGATTTGTTGCAGCAAACATTCTAAATGAAATGAAACACTGGCACTGTCACAGATGAAAGCTATTCATTGGATCTAAAAGTGAAATATTCTGTGCAATGCAGAGTAAAAATGTGAAATTGTGCAGCCCTGTGATTTAGTTCACATTTGTCTCCATTTTTCCTCACATATCTTCTCAGAAAGCGTTATGATAAGGCGGAGGCGGAGTACGTGATGGCCAAGCTGGACCTGCACAAGAAGACAGAGGTGAAGGAGCAGCTGACGGAGCACCTCTGCGCCATCATCCAGCAGAACGAGCTGCGTAAAGCCCACAAGCTGGAGGAACTGATGCAGCAGCTGCAGCTTCAGGCCACCGAGGAAGAGCTGGAGAGGCAGAAGCAGCATGAGGAGGAGCAGGAGAAGAGGAAGACAGAAAGCTGTGTGGAAAGGCAGAGAGACGGGAAACAGGGAAACGGCTCAGTGGAGAATCAGGAGGGGACAGTGCAATCAACCAAAGACTGTACAGCCACAGAGGGAGAGGCTGTGGAGGAGAAGGGAGGTGGCGTTCAGCAAGAGCACCACCCGATGACTGAAGTGCCAAAGACTGAACAAGACTGTAAAACATTAGAAAACTGTGTCCAGAGTGAAATTATGGCTTCCTGATGCTCAGAAAATAAAGATGTCAGCTGTGAAATATCAGGACATTATCACACGTCGCAGTGTAGGGATTCATATAAAACACTAATGCTAATGTTTTCCACCAATGTCTGCTTGATATGTGATGCTGTATGTTGATGCTGTCATATCCAGGGCGGGGTATTAGCATCAATACTTCTTGGTACCAACCAAAATGAGCTCTAACAACCCTGTCTCCTAAATATCATGCTCTTATACTACTAAATGTTTTTGCTTAATATGTTGTGGAGCAAACATCATTGCTGGATTGCTCACTGGTTACAATTTGTCTGATGTTGTGGTACCACCCACAGTTAGTAGGGAAGTGGTCTGAGTCAGTGGTGAACATACAAACCAAGAAACGGTTTCTGTCGCGCATGCCATTAATTATTATATATCATGGTTTGGTATGGTTGGTGATTGTTTTGGTTGTTAAATATTGGAAAAAGTAAGCACGTTCAGTGAGCTTTTGACTTTTTCAATATTTAACCCAGACCCTGCAGTCAAGTTTTGTCCTATTTTTCTCAGTTAGCTCCCAACAGTGGCCTAGCTGTCACACATTTTAAAGTTAAATTATAGAAAACATTGGTGTTGGATCGGTATTGAAGGAGAAAGGTCAAAATCAGAGTATCCCTATTTTTATCTATGCAGATATTTTCGTGACAAACGTGTTGTGATGTTAAAACATCATAATCGGGGCGGTTTCACATATCCTTCAAAAGTTATTTACTGTCGCAGATTAGTAATATATGAACGTCATTTTTACTAAACGATCAAGTAAAGTTGGCATCAAATTTCTGGTGGGACTTAAGATCATGTGTACTAGTATGGACAATTTTAGACTGTACTTTATTTAGGCCAACTTCTTCCAGGTTGCTTGTACTTGCTTGCTTCTTTTGTAAATGAAAAAAAGAGACTTTGTAGAAAGGTATCAGGTGGAAAACACATTGTCTCAGTGAAACTTGAGTGTCTTATCAGCACTAGTATTGAAAACAAAACAACACCAGCCTTCAATGTATGTGTACCTGCAGCATCTGACAGAATCATAGTCAGCAGCAGAGTGAAGCAGAGTATCTTGCAGCCATTATCCGCGATGGCTGGCTTTTTATGTGTGTGCTTCCAAAAACAGCTCTTCTTCCAAACATGTGGTTTTACATCATATGTGAATTATCTCTCTGAGCAAAGGTTATATTCAAAAGATGACTGTTTTTGATTGTTGTCGCTTTGTGGCAACAATGAAAGATGGGTCCTGTTTACTTCCTGGAAAGTCTCAGTTTCATGCAGATGGAAAGAGGCCTGAATCCATTTCTATTCCAAACATAAACCCTGCTGTCTTATGTGTTGTAGATGAACATGTTAGCTGGCGCTGGGCTCGCATTTCACAAAGCTAATTCTCGTCTTGTCAGTGCAGCTGAGGAGCAGTGGGCCTCCTGAATGGTAAGATGATATCTGTTAATGTATGTACAGATGCTTTCAGCTGCATGTGTTTCTGCAGAGTCGACTTTCTCTCGCTGCACACGATGTCGAAAATAATATATGACAATAATGTTAAACTTTATATATGTGGGCCTGACCAAAGCCTGATTGTATGTTCTGAAGCAAATGACTGATGCATATAAAAACTTATTTAAGTGGGGTAAATATTTAAAAAGGTGATATTTAGATATACACTACAGTGTGATATTTTACTAAATAAACTCTTCAGGGAGTGTGTTTTCTGGTGCATTTTGTCCTCATGTTTGTCATTTTAGCTTTTAGATAATGAGTTATCTGCAGAACTGAAGCTTGTGGTCCTGAAGGAATTTACACGGGGAGCACTTTGGGACTCTAGTTGCTTTTGCAAGTCGTTTTTAAAGTGCAGTAAGTGTTTCTGTAAACTGCTTTGAGATTTTACAGCGCTCCGGTCACATCTGGCCGTCTGAAGGAGAGGCCGTAAAAGCAGTTTTTTAATTAGTTGGGAGGTAGGAGCTCAGAGAGGGAGAGTGACCACCGTCCTGTCTGTTCATGCACAACCTCCAAGGTCAACGTTTGAAGTCCCCAGGAGCAGATTTCAGCTCAGATATGACCAAATTATAAAGGCATTCAAATAAAAAGGACATGATTATGTCATTTTCACAAAATCCACAGATGGAATGTCACTAAGTAGATTTCTCACGTACAAATTTGAGTTTGTAAGTGTTTTAATTTTATGCTATACTCCATACATCCTCCACTACGTTTATTTGCTAACTGTAGTTACTTTAAAAATTGAGACTGTTCTAAAATATGATGGCATTATGCACTGATGCATATGCAGTAATAAATCCATATTAAGTTGTTTTAGTTTGTGATTGAGCCCTTAAAATTTTTAATTTCTTTTTTAAAAAGTGAGAAAATCTGTCTGTGGTCAATATATAACAGACTATTTGAGAATGAACAAATAGCAACTTTGATATCTAACTTGAAAATTAACTTTATTTTTTCATAATTGTTGTGCAGCTGCCTGATTTATTCTGTCATTCTTATAAAACAAGTTGATTTAGATCAAAAAAGGGATTTTTTTGCAGTGATAATTTCCCCTTGTCTTTAGGAGTTATTGACTGCAGCTACAGCATGAAAATGCTGTTAACATGTTTGCATCAATAATCACAATGTATGCTGTAATATATTAAAATGTCCAATTAGTATTTGAGGACTTTTACTTTTGACACTTAAAGTGCATTTCTGTACTCTTAAGTAAATCTTATTTGTAATGGAGTAGATTTCACATTATGGTATTTCTGTTTTAACTTAAGGATCTGAGAGCTTCTTCCGCCACTGACAAAATCCCATTTAGGTTTTTCTTCCTGATATAGTATTACCAACCGATCCTCTAAATGAAATATTATGTATAAAACCCACTAAAAATACTGCAAAGTGAATTTAAGGGTGTTTATCCTCCTATACATTTCACATGCCACAGTCACTGCTTCACTTTTAAATGGGAATAATAGTAATCGTCAGGATCATTTGACAAAACTCCCCAGGGGGGGTCCCTGAAGAGAAATGTACTCTGGATTATGACAAAGAAAAATGAGAAGATACAGGCTACGGAGATTAAGGCATCCAGCCGGGCTTCAAACTGCAGATATGGCTTCTACATTAAATACATTTCCACTGGGGAGAAGCGTGTTTCTATGCATGTGTGTGTGTTTGTGTGTGTGTGTGTGTGTGTGTGTGTGTGTGTGTGTGTGTGTGTGTGTGTGTTGGGCGCTGGGCCGCACTTCAGAGAGCGGAGGGTTTATAAAGTAAAGTGTGATTTATGTGGCGCTGGCGTCCCTCGACAGGTCGAGAAAGACCCTGAAACCCGAGAAGTCCGAGAGCCAAGAGAAAAAACTAAAAAAAAAGCCCAAATCAAGTTTTCCTGAGACTCTCAGCCATCTGGAGGAGCCGAGCTTCACCTCCATATCTGCTGAACTTTGAACCCACTGTCGGTACAACTGTGAACCGACACAATATAGAGAGTGGATACAGTCAGATCCTTATGTGAGCTGTTCTGATGTGAAAATGCTGCAGGGAACACGCTCATTCTTAGCTTTTATTGAGGCCTAATTTTCATAGGCAATTAAAATATTGTGCAGATTAATTTAGCTGCTGGATAATTAACTGAATCTCTTAATTTAGAGCTTCACTTTTGAAGCCGAAGTAATTCTATGTGACATAAGAAGCAACTGGTAGACTCAGAATAAATAAATCTGCAAAATAAGGAGTAAATTAGATTCTTTCAACGAAAAAGGGAGACATTTTAAACGAAGTTGGCGTCATGCACGCCTGGATAAATATTCGATGGAAAATAAATTCCGATCGACCAAGAACAAGTGTGGATGTTGATCCTGAGGGTTAAACAGTAATAAAAAATAAAAAATAAAAGAGTTTGACTTGTTTGGAAAATGATTCACTCTAACTTTAACTGTAAAATTGACCAAACCTTAACATGACAAATAACTGAACCCAAACCCAAAGAAATAAAACCACTAATGAAGTGATTTATTTATTCCTGCCTCGTGATGATCCCTTATACAGTATGTCTGCGGTGTTAAACGCTCTTTCTGAGCGGCTTTTAGGGGTTTGTAATAATGAGAATCAGTGCGGCTGAATTAATTTCACACGGCCACTTGCTCTGTAAACTCTCCGTGTTGTTTTAATCAGGAGCAGATTTGCTGTTTTATGTCGGAACACCACAGACCGTTTACAGTTACAGCAGTGCAGCATGATGTGAACCGCCTGCAACAACAGACACAACAGCAGAACAAAAACCAGTCGTAAAATATAAAGAGATAGTTCAAACAAGTACATTCACTCACAATTAAATACAATTACTGCAATTACAGGCAGTGTATATTTTTGTATCTGACAGCTGGGGTTCATTTACACACAGATCGGATCAGAAAACATCGCTGTTGTCTCCAAAAACTCAACTTTCCAGTTTCGTTTCAGCTCGATGACGAAGACGCACCTCAGACACTTTTATGTCTGTCAGCCCAGAACAACACGTGATCCTTCAAATTCATTGGATGCGCGAGGACAGATGATAGACACAAAGCTTTTTTTAAGCGCGAGGGGAAACCTCCTATTTAGGGGAATGTCATTATTTGATTATTTTACTTCATATAAAGTTGAGGATTTATTGATACATTAACATGCATTCATAATTTTGCAATTAAATACCTTAACAATTTACTAAGTACATTTATGAGCAATACTTATTTTAAGTCTTTTTTTTAATGAAGAACTTTTACCCTTAGTGGACTGTTTTTTCGGTGGCCTATGCCAGAATCAGCTTAGTTTGTTCAGCCTGGGATTTTCTTCAATATATTTAAGGTAAGATAAGATGTGGTAAGGTAAGGTGTGAGATGAGATTAGATAAGATAATAGCCTACTAAGGAGCCAAATTTAGCAGCAGCCCAACAAACAAGTTAGGTGTAGGAACAGGATACAGGTAAGTCAAACATACAAGATAAATCATTTATAAATGTTACAAAGCTAATCTACAGCCTATATTACCTTAAACCACTATGCTGCAGGTCCCTGGTGACATTCCAGATCACAGTGACATATTAGCAATGAAGGGAGCCTGTTCAGTAGCAATACTGTTAGATAAAAATCACCTATTACAGTAAAAATTCTCCATTTAATAGTCTAAAGTAAAAATTAAAAAAAACAGCAAGATGTACTTACTCATTAAGCAGAATGGACCCTTTCAGTGTTACAGCAGCATATTATATAACACCAAAATGGAGCTTTTATTTTAATGCATCCAGTTTGGTTGACAGGTCTGGCAGGAAAAAATGTTTAGATCTTATTCAAGCAGCAACACCACAGTGCACAAATACTACTTTACAAGTAAAAGTACTGCATTTAAAACTTAACTTAAGGAGAAGTATAATCATGATGTTATCTGTTAAAGGACTATCAGTGCTGAGTGCATTTTCATGTAAGCAGCACTGTAATGCTTACAGGTGGAGTTCACTACTTATTACTATTATTGTCCAACTTTACTTACAGGTGGGTGGCTAAAACTGCACATGTTTTGTGTGTAAAATCTCCAAAGTAGCAAAAAACTGCAATAATTGGCACTTTAAAATGTGTTGAAAAATAAAGTAGCATTAAACAGAAATACTCAAGTGTAAGTACACAATTGCACTTGGCCTACAGTATTGAGTAAATGTACTCAATTACATCCCACCGCTATCTGGATTTGGAATCCCTCTCTATATAAATAGGCCTACTGTCGATATATAATGTATTGATGTATAAAACATATTTAGTTTGAGAGACATTAGTATAATGTGAAAAGTAAAGACGTCCTTCCTGCATGTTTAACACAACCTCAGTCTAACATGCAGATGATTTGCGCAGTTGACATTTTAAGGCTGCAGTGTTGTGAACCAGCTCCAGTCCTGACTCCTCAGCCTCTGACAGCCTCCTCTGAAAGCTGTAATCAGCTCAGAGTGTGTGTGTGTGTGTGTGTGTGTGTGTGTGTGTGTGTGTGTGAGAGAGCTCTGCAGCTCTGCAGCAGTCGCTATACGGTGAGAACTCCCGGCGCAGCCGCTGCAATCAGGCGGAGCGCAGAGGGAGCGTGTCTGCAACATATGGTTCCCTGCACAGGATGTAAAGAGTCAACAAGGAGGCCATTTACTCCCAATTAGGGAAATAAAACAGGACAGGGGCCAAAAGCGCTACTCCAATCAGCACCAGGGGTCACTGGACAGCGGCGGCGGCAGGGCGGCGGCCCGGGACCGTCATCATCACCATCAGCCCCCCCTCATCTTCATCCTCAGCCCGGGGCCAGGGCTGCACGGAGGGACTGAGCTGACACAGAACCAGCAGGGAGAGGAAGCGCATTAAGGCCGAAATTATTTTAATGCATCCAGTTTGATTGACAGGTCTGGTGGGAGAAGTTTTTAGATCCTATCTAAGTGGCAAAATCACAGCGTGCAAATACTTAAGCGCTAAAAGCACTACATTCAAAACTAAACTTAAGGAGAAGTACTATGCTAATGTTATGTATTACAGGACTGTCACCACCTGTGCATTATCATGTAAGCAGCAGTTTATAGGTGGAATTAATTAGTGCTGGGTCGTTAAAGCTATAACAAGATGATCATATGTTGTGTATGTAAAAATAAGTAGGCTAACTGCAGATAAATGAAGTGAAGTGAAATGTACAATTTCCCCCTGAGATGTAGTGTAATGTAGAAAACAAC